ACTTCTTATCTCACAACAGAAAACTAAGGAGAACACCACTGTGGCCAATGTTGTTGCTGTGTGTGAAAACTGTCACAACTCAAACCACAACACAAACACAAAATGGACATTGAGTTCTCATTTGGCTCCTTCTTCGGGCTCCTTCGGACAGTCTGGTAAAATTGGATCTGACGTTTTGGTAATTTTTCAACATGGTTGGCAGCAGGAGGGAAAGCAGAGAAGAAAAAGGTGGACGCCAAACAAACTGGCATCAGATTATAGCTGTGTTTACTTTCAAAGAGCTGGGAACAGTGCTCCTCAGGCCATTATCTCACACGGGGTATAGCCTGCTCATTTCGCAATGTGGGGCTTTATGAGCGAGGAACTCCAGCTGCCATCCCCCGTCTCCTGATACTCATAAAGCCTTGTGTTGTGCGGCCATTCCCTGTAATTGGTTTGTATTATACAGTATGTTCTCACAACGGACCAGAACCTGCATCTTCAGCCATTTCACTACAGTTTTTTGGTGTTCCAATGACAGTATCTTTGTCCTGTGGAAGTAAACTGAAGCACAGCAAATGCTTTAAAGAGGGAAAATGTCTGTTGTGCATGAACCTTAAGCCTTTGTTGCTGTGACAGATGTGTGACGGCCCCCTCCCACAACGATTCAAGGATTCCTCCTGAGTCTGTTCTTAATTGGGAGGAGTGATCATTAGTGTGAGTGTAGCCCTCTGATCTTTTTTTAAGCATTTTATAATAAGAAGGAGACCAACTTGTTTCCGTTGAGAGCCTGTCTGAAGCCCACAAGATTAAAGTCCTCTAAATGACCGCCTTTGGTCCTTAACTGAGATGTCTCCACTTCAAGTAGACATCAGTCCTCATCACTCCTGTTTCTCTGACACCAGCAACACGAGCGACAGAGGGTTTCTGCAAAACCACCGGGCAATTAGGTGGGACACTGAAAAGTTCAAAACGTCATTATCACACTGTCCTACGCGATACATGTGATCCTTTTAATGGCGCCCAAAAAGAAGGGGACGATCTTCCTCTTCAAGGTGAAGCTTTGTGTGAAGGTGGTGACAGGACGGACACCGGGACAGTTAATTGATCTTCATTATGTTAATTACAGAGGGGATATGGAGCGAGGAATGAAAAACGGGTCACACTGTTTTGGATTCTGTCTGAATGTACCACTTTAAGCTTTCTGATGACCTTGAAACTAGCCTGAGAGGTGATGGTGCATATCGCTTAAGTGAGTGAGAGTGAGTGCATAAATGTGTTGGGCTGTTTTACTGCACTTTTAAATCCTCAACATCCTTACAAGCTGATAATCTGTTTCAATCTCCTGTTAATCTCATATTTCCTGCTTTATTAGAAGTTAAAGAATTGACCACTTGGTGTACTTCCTGAAAGCATCAAACTCTGACAAACACATGCAACATTTCTGTAAGAATGTGTGTGTTTGTGTGTGGTTTCCCCCTTGTCCACTCCACTTTATGGATGCCTGCACTGTCAGCAAGCCTTGCTCTGCCCTTGCATTTTAATAAACACCATCTGAGTTGGCTGCTTGTGTATAATATCTGTCAGGCAGCTGCCACCCAGTGATCCCAGAAACTCTGACCTCTGCCCCCGGGGAGCCAACGATGGGACATCACGGAGACAGGGTGTCTTCTCCTGTCGATCCATGCAATGATACGCCTTACACCCTTGTCCCAGTCCGCTCGCAACTCAAACGCCTTGCCACTCTGCCCTATGCATTGGAAATGAGACGGGGCTGCCTTACAGGATGCAATGAATAGTCAGAAGGATGGGATAAACTCGAGCCTCGGAGATGCCTGTCACAAAGATTGATGGTTCCCTGGAATGAGTTGTTGTCTTGCCAGTAGTATAAACTTTTCCCTGCTGAATAATTGAGTTCTTCTGCTGAAGAGTCGTGTCAGTCTTTTTTTAAGTTTACACGCAGGCACTTTCAGGAGTGTATCTATCGACTCCTCACTGTCAGAGGCGTGAGGATAAAAGAAAGCTGAGGTTGTGCAATAACAGCTGATGTATGACATACAAACGAGATTTAATACAAAGTCTTCATTGATCAAAAAATATCAAACTAAAACTCGCATTTGTTTGGTCTGCTGTTAGTTATATCCGACTTGTATAACATGCTATTCATATCTGCTTAGTTGTTGCTCACTGCATGGAAACTGTATAAATCACAGCCATCTGTCACCCCTGCCTCCAGACTCATCACACCTGACGACAAAACTGATGATCATGAACTTGACTTCTCTGCATGGCTAAAAATATGAATTCATCATTTATACTATATAATGCCACAGAGCCACTATATAAGATACAAACAAAGAATAGCAACAAAGTTTCACATTCGAAAAGTAAGACTGTGACTTTTGGCTTCATAAATTGCTTAAATAATTCACTATCAAAATCTCATGAAATGAATGCTCTGAATAATTAGTGCTCCATAGAAACTGTGTTATGTTTACTAGAAAATAACCATAAAGACAGCAGGAATCTTTCTTTTTGAAAGTTTTCAGTCTTTGTGAAGTACAAAAAAACAAAACAAGGTGACAGCCAAACCTCGCAAACAAAGGCATCACTTTATCATGTTTCATCAATCTGCTTTGCCCATCTTAAGTTATTTTTTGATGTAGTGGAAGCAAACACATATTTGGGTAAGTGAGAATAGAAAGAGGTTATTCAATTCTGATTGATGTATGACATAAACAACTTGATATAATATAACGATTGATTAAAACATGTCAAACAAATGTCTACATTTTTAATTTACAGCTTAATTGTATCACATGTTACTAAAATGCTTTAACTCGCTGTTCTCTGCATGGAAAGTGTAGAAATCACAGCCATCTGTCACCCCTGCCTCCGAGCTCATCACACCTGTTGTCAAAACAGATTTTTTTCACACTTGGAAAAATGACTTTTCCGCATGGCTAAAAATACCATGAGTGCTATGAGTGAAGGCCTGACATTGTCATAGGCTAATGTTTATGACAGCCCATCTTAACATAGCACTATTACCACCACTGCATGAGCCTTTCAACAACTACATGAAAACACGCCAAACCACAGTTTCTCCCCTCCTGAAGCCAATTAAGTATATTATTCCAACAAAGGTGAGGTGTTCCCAGACAAAACCTAATTAGCTCCAGCACCGTAGGCAAGCCAAGCGATAATTGGTTATTAAATTGCACGTTATGCTGTAAATATGTTTTACGCCTTTACTGTGTTTATTTATACAATACAATACTTGTGTGAGGTAAGATGTGGTTAATTGAATTTGGAAATGTGGAAGTTAACTTCCTGTTGCAATTATCTTACATTTATAAGCTTGTGCTCTCACATATTGAAACATTGAGATGGTTTTGTTCATTTAGCTCGCTCTGCTGTGTGGTGTTTTTTTGTGTGTGTGAGCGAGAGAGCAAGAGAGAGAGAGAGAGAGAGGGGGGGGACATTACATTGCATCAGGCCTGCTAAACTATGCCCACCTCCCACTAATCACTGTGCTTTAATGAAACATGTTGCTGATCGCTCAGAGTGGAAACATGTATCACACAGAAGCATTTGACATAATTTGCCGGTCACGCGGGCCCTAATCCCTATACCTTTAAGGACTAGTGCTTTGGCAGTTATTCACTCAGCCTGTTCATAAACACACAGTCAGTGGGGAAATGTGGCAAAGCACAACTCTTTGGAAAACGCTGATGTGATTGCCTTTGCACTCAATGCTGGTGGATTTTGATTCACACTCCATCCCACACTCCACTTCTATGTTTATCTGTGTTTTATAGAGAGTAGTGTATTTTATAGTTTATTTTAAAGACCGGAGCATTTTTGCTTGCATGCTCTTTGAGACCAGCCTGAAAAGTCTGTTTGGTTTCTTCAGTGATTCAAAAACTGTTTAGTCTAAGATGGTGGTATTCTACTTACATCATACTGACAAAAGGCCACATTTAATAAAACAATATAATCAGTCATTCATTAAAATAAGTCATTTTGATCACTTTGAGTCCTTTGATAATCTATCATAGACATCGTTCTTAGCTAAGTACCTTGCTAGCTACCCAGCTACATTAATTAAAAATACAAAAACTGACAAAATTGGATGAGGACTCAGCTCTACAGTATTTTGCAAGCTGTAGACAACAATTCTCATAGACACCAACTCTAAAATCTAATTATTCCTTTGATGCAAATTAAAATATACACTTGGCATCTGCTACCAGCACAATGTGAGCAACACTGTGAATCACTATATATGCTGAAACATCCCACCCAATAACTCAACATGTCCTGGGAAAGACCTTTGTGTAAAAACACTTATTTTACCTGTCAGAAGCTGGATGCAGCAGAAGTCCAATCCTCACAAACTGAAATGGCATTTTTTTGTGTGTACTCACTGAGATGAAAAATGTCTCACACTTATAGGAAGTGAAATCAAATAATCTGCCAAATTTAACACATCTGTTCCTTCATCCCTTTCTGAAAAATCTGGTATTTGGTGACTCCATATTGATCATGATGCCTCGTGCTTTCAGTGTTGGCCCGTGGCAAACATGAGATAAACAATTAAGATTAAATTAGATATCTAATCCCAAACATGTTTCAGCTAAAGATGAACACTCTGCTGTTACTATTTGCAGCTTGTATGATGAGCTGTTTACATGCAAGTTTGGAAAACATTGCGCATATGGAGGGACGAGCAGGGGAGTGGAATATGTTGGAGAATAGAGACAAAATCTGAAGTTGAAATGTTTTGTGTAAATCATTTTTACAGTTTAGGTATGGATGTCTCCATCACATTACATTATTCTGTGTTTAGCTATTTCTGTCTGAACCAGATAGCTGGATCGTTATTACATATACATTGTGGCATTTGTTTAACCCACTAGTGTAAATGTTATCCAATAAATCTTTGCTGATTTTTGCACATTAATCAGTGACTGAGCAATAAGAGTTTGTTGTTGTGTATCGAATGATGCACTGGGTACCTTAGTTTTGTCGTACAGGGTATGGTTGTCCAAAAGCATCCGACGCTCTATTCGAGCAAACCTCCTCAGGTCTCTCTCAAATTGCTGTGAAAGAAAAGGATCAATAGTCAGAAATCAATTATCTCGTTTATCTGTCTGTTTATATAGGACTAAAAGGAAAAAGTTGGATGTATCTGTTTTTCCTGTGATAGTTTTTAGCTTTCTATATAATTAACAAGTAGGTATTTGGATATTGCAGGCACTTGTTTATAATATTATACACTTGCATGACTTTGTATACATTTTCAGTATATCAAGTTTAAATCAAGGTGATTTCGTTTTCTGTCCTTGATGTTGTTCTTAACATTTTATCACATGGTGTTGGCCCGACAATGAATTATCAATCATCACACCAACTTATACTTTTTTGCTGTTGTTCTAATCATCGATTGCCCCTGAGGCTACCTCACTGTCATTCAGTCTCTACAATCCTTCATACCCTGGAGCCGGTCCAGCCCAGCAGAGCGAAAGCATAACGATCCATAGGCGGTGACACCAGGTCCACACGCACAGCCCGCCAGCCCCTGTCGTCTTCCTCTGCACTGTTGAGACCTCCCTCCACTTTGTTTGCCTTCAGCCTCAAGATCAGGAAGCACTTTGCAAAGTGATCCATAGCCTCAAACCTGAGGCTGGGGAGATTGGACACATCAAAGGTGGAAGCCTGATAATCACAATACAGCAAAATGCCCTGGGGAAGAGAGAGAGAAAAACTAAGTTTAATAGCATGAATATCTGTTTATACATCTTCAACTATAAACATTATTGTTTATCCCAGTTTTCTTTCTCTGTGTTTGTGTATCTAATGTCTGTACTCCCTCTTTTTCTCATCAAATCCTCAACTCATCTAAACTGAGTGTAAAGAAACCAGGTAACACATGCAGTACAACACTTTGCCCAAGCTTTTACTGAGGAGATTATTCTTGTTCTTGGAAAACAAAACAACTTGTCTTTTGTAATAGATTGGCTGTACTGAGTATTGTCAAAATCAGTCCTATACACATCCATTCTAAAGTATTTTTCATTAATGTAGACCGGTTTTATTGGAACAACCCTTCTTCAAAGCTAAAAACTTAACTGTAACCTAAACTGCAAAAGTTGTGTCACAAAGCACCACCCTGTTTCTTGATTCATTATAAGATCATTCATAATCAGACACAGTTCCAATGTAATTATGATTTCAGAGTTGCAAAATCTTAGGAGGACTAATTGGGGTGCTTTTTAAAAAAAATAAAATCTCCTCTGAGTAACAATGTAAATAGAAGGCATATAAACACCAATGAAGCTGAAGCTGGAGTATATAATCATTGAACTACATTTCAAACACCATCAGGTGGCAGTCAAATGGAAACAGCATACTATAAAAAAATATGGCAGCAACAACAAAACATAACTGAGACTTGTGTTGAACCTATCAAATGCATTTTAAGGCTTGTAGTGTAACTCAAACAATACATTTTGCATGTATATATTTTTTCAAAGTCAGGAGAAACTTTGCTTCTTTAAGCCTTTATGGGAAAACTGACCTGCCCAGAGTTGAACCAGTGCTGCAGAATCTATAGTCTTGTTTATACTTTGACTACATGTCACTGCTTTTAAGGTTTTAGCCACTTAATGCCACTGTTTGTGTTTTCTCATATAAAACTGAATGGTCATGTAAATGATGTTGCAATCAAAAATAACTATCTCTCAGATGTTGCAGTAAATCACATTGCATGAAAGAAATCTGCTTGAGCAAAGTCAACTGGAGCAGACAAATTCAGCTTAGAAACAATGTTCTTTTCTGATTGACAAAACAACAAATCTATGCTAGTAAAAGGACTATGTGTGAACATCTGCTGAAACTTGTCACCAGGCTAATTTGAGCCCGGAGTGGTGAAAAAGAAAGAGGATGGTTGAGTGTAAGATCCAATAGAGACACGAGCCTCCAGTCAGCCATGGTCGATGGCTGAAGCCTATTCCCTGGTAAATGGGTCCACTCCTTAGATAATGGAAATCTCTGCCAAGTGAGATGTCAGAGTGTGAAGGAGAGAAGGAGAGAGGGCCACTGATGAGAAACAAAGCCGTCAGTGTAGAGAAGAGTGAAATGAGGTGAGTGGAAAGGAGTTAGAGAATAAAGCGTTCAACCTGTAAGAGAAAGTAAGGAGTAGGTGGATGAGTAGATAGTGGAAAAGACAGAAAAGGGGAGAGAGAGGAAAAGGACTGTGTGTGAATTGATTTCCTCCAGGCCTCGCCCTGGCTGATTATGTTTCTCTCTGGATGCAGGAGTGTTAAAGCGATTAAGATTACAAATTGTCAATTTAATCCCAGCGCCCAGCGTAATTGTTGGGATACTACTCCCCTCTCACTGGCCATAAATCTGCCACAGAATCCTTAAAGAGCAATAATTGGAGAAGTGAATGCAGTGAGCAGCCACTCTGCCTGTCCAGCCGATGACTTAGGTTAATCGCAAAACATTAACAACCTTGTCAGCGTGGACGGAGTCGCCGCCACCAAACATCCCTGCCCGAACGCCAAACCACACAAGTTATCAGACGAGGACAGCGTTTCCCAGAGGGCACTGATGGAGGGAGATAGTGAGGAATCCAAGGTGGTGACGGTGAAAACCCTGAGTGACACACAGAGGGAGCAGATCTCAAAGAAACCGCCGGCCCCCACCTCACTTTCCCTCATCTCATTATCCTCAGGGGTGGACACGTTTGTCGGGCAAAAATTCTTGATGTCACCCTTTGCTGCACCCGTGGACCACTCTCCCTCTGCAATTACAGATAACCATTCACCTTTCGATAATGGGCAGGGAGAGGGATTCTTGAAGTTCCCTTTACATTCTGTAATAGCTTAGCTAAAGGCAGTGACAGCTCCCACTTAGATAATGAGGCCAGAATGACAGCATAAAAGCACTTAAACACCGACTAATCTGAAATTAAAATCCCCTCGAGCCACACTTCAGACAAGTTGTGGGAGAACGTCCGCAACCCATCTCATGCATAAGGCTGCAAATGTAGGTCACTCCCAGCACATACTGTGTTTTGGGTTGCTCCTAGCAGTGTTTCTTTCAGCTTTGAATCGTATAGATGCCTTCAGAGAAAACTATTAATTTAATAAGGTGACAGTTGCACAGACCATTAAGTACCTGAATATGGATGCTTTTCGATCGATGACGTTTTCTTGCCTCTGTGCGTGGACTATAGTCTCTCGCTCTCTTGTTCTGTCTGCCACACATAAATCTACCATAAAAACAGGACGTCGTGAAGTTCCTCGTCTCAGCATCGCCGGGGGCTGTTTAGCCCAATAGCGCTCTGTAATCATCTCGCACACAGCAGGTAATGTCAGCAAGCATCTGAGAGTAAGCTGATTCCACCAAAACTGTTTACAGAGGGAATTACAGAGGAGGACAGCGGGAAGATAATCTCTCCCCTAAAGCTTCGCCTCTGAGCTCTGAAAAAAGAAAAAAGTCAAGTGAACATGACTTCTGAAATTGTGATCTGAAAGCAGGGCCTTTTTTTCCTCTTTGATTATTTACGCGGCGTCTTCTTTTTGAGAGTGTGATGAGCGGTCACAGGGGCCAACGCAGCCACCTGCATCTGCAGAGGACGAGCGAAAGGCGCTCCAATCTCATCTCGCATTCTCTTTGACTCACAAAGAGAGAGACTTGAAAACCAGCCTTCAAGTTGCAGATTACCGCGTGTTAGCCAAGAACATTTGAACTGCTCTTTGACTTTGATTCACAGTTTCGACAGAATGAAAGAGCCTGATTGCTGGAATTAAAGTGCAGCGATTTGTGTGTGTGTGTGTTTGTGCGTCCTCTTGCTGCCAGTCAAAGTAGCCCTCACTGCTCAGGTTTTATTTAGATCTCAAAGTGACTAACTCTGTGTGACTGCAAAATAACCTCAGCTGTATGGGCAGCTCTGTCTGAATCACTTACTCAAGCTAAAGGGGAAGCTCTGCAAATCTTAACCGCACTGACTCGGAAAGCAGAACAATAAAGCCAGAGCTGAATGGCATCACACTGGCGGCAATGCATACAAAGCTCATCCTTCAGAAAGAAGAACTTATACAGTATTTAAAGACCAAGATGACATATGGATAGAGGATGAAACATCGCTCTCTCTGTCTTTCCCATTGCTATTACCAGGGCCAAGCTGAATCTCATCTGTCTGCCACAGAAGCTGGGGACTGACCTTGCCTCTGCCCCCAAGTTATGCTTTCAGAATATCAGCAAGAGGAGGGGAGGGGGGGAGGAAAAAAATGATGAACCCGATTTTACAAGGACATTTCTAGATGGATGTATTTTTAACTCCCTGCAGGCGGAAGAAGGGTGCTGAATGAGTGGGTGGGGGGTGGCACGGGTGCCCATGATATTAGGCCTGAGTGGAGACGTGTTGGGGGGGCCCCAGGGCCTCGATTGCCGATGACAAGGTTACACGACTTAAGAGTCAACCTCTGCTACCTCCATTTAATCACTGTCTCCTGTGTCCTCATCCCTGCAGACCAGCCCCCTCTCCATCCCTATTCTATCAGCCTGAAAGCTTCCGGTTGTTTCACACTATCCCTTCTTAGGCTCCTAAAGCCTTTTTAACACCTGCCCTACCTGCCTAATTCACTGTCTCACATCCATTATACCTCAGCCCACACATTCTCATACACTTTCACACTTTTACCTCATTCTTTCTACCCATGGTGAATCAAAGTGGCTGCGACAGGCTGCCAGAGGCTGCAATAGGTGCGAGCTTCCCGCGATAGCATAGGACGTAATTATCATCAGTATGGACCTCTGAAGGAGCGGAAGGGGGAGTGGAGGTGAAGATGGAGAAGGGGCGGAGGACGGAGGATATTTTTAAACCCGGTGATGACAAAAACAAGCCAGCAGCTAGGCTCCACAGCGTTGTTCTGCTCTTCATCAAACCCCTGTCTCCTCGCATGACGGTCTCCAGCTACGCATTAATCTGAAAGAGAAGAGAAGTCCTTCCACATGCACATGACCTGTATATTTTCGGTAAGGGATACTGTCCATAATGTATTTTCATTTGGCTTCAAAGATCCAGTTAAGCTGTATCATGTTAACATATATGTTCAGTGGAAACTGAGCTGTCTAGATGATAATAAGGTATTATATATTTGTATATGTGTATAATTCCTGACCCTCTGCACAGACTCTCAGGAGACGACGGAGGATGTGTAACCAAATATCACAATGTTGACTCATTGGCTGTAGGTCAATGTTTTATGAGTGAGTTTGTATGTTAATAAAATGTTACATTGGACACATTTCATTAGGAATTAATAATTAATAATGTCTTATAATGAGTTCTGTCTTCTTCTTCTAACTGTAAATTGTGAACCAAACAATGTATCACCTTTTTAATTAACTTTACACACAATTTACAATCATCACTGTTCAGACCACAGACTCTAAATAAAGATGGACAACATGACTGCTCCCTAAAAGTTGAGGCAAAATGTCTCCATTGCCACCTGGTGGCTAGCTGCAGTTTAGGTCATAAACCCTGCCTCCTCCATGTTAGTGTATGGGACATGGGCCGATTAATGAATGAATTAATTTGTCTCAAACATTCTGCATTCTGTCATTTTAGTTTGTTCTTCACACTGATGTTTGTTCAAGTGCTATTTTTTTTAAATTAGTTAGGTTTCAATTAGTCATTGGATGCTATAAAAACAGGATTAAATGTC